CAGGAGAGAGGAGTCAGGGAACAGGTAGCCAGCGGCTCAAATGGGGCTCCCATCAGGCTACAAAGCACTAGGTTCAAGTCCCATTGGGGAATGGGTTGTCTTAATCTGAGGGTACAGTCTGTCCAGGCCCTTCAGGAACCTCTTAACTATAGACAGGGCAAAACACTGAACGTCCTCCTTCCCCCGGTGAAAGGCCGCGATGGCCGTCAGGTGTACCCTAACTGGGTCCGAAGTTTGAACAATAATCTATACCCTAAGACAGGGGTCTCCAAACTGCGGCCCGGGGGCCGGATGCGGCCCGCGAGGGCCTCTCATCCGGCCCGTGGAGACCTTTTTGGATTCAAAGGCAGAAGAAGTGAGATTGTTTCAAAACCCATTTGAAGCAGATGTGGCCAGTTGCCCAGATGAACTGCAGCTGGAAGTCATTGAGTTGCAAGCAAATGACCTCCTTAGGGACAAGTTCAAAATAGGACTGGTGGGTTTTTACCAGTTTTTGCCCAAGGAAGACTTTCCTAATGTCAAAACTTTTGCATCAAGGTACCTTTCAATCTTTGGAACAACATACCTGTGTGAACAAACATTTTCAAGAATGAAATACGTGAAGAACAATTTGAGAACAAACTTGTCCGATGATAATCTCAGGTCACTGTTGATGTTAGGGACAACAAATCTAAAGCCAGAAATGTCTGCTATTTTGGCATCCAGGAAACAATTTCACCATTCACACTAATACAGGTGTTCATGTGTAGTGTATGAATGTGTTATTAAATAATAACTGAATAAAATAATATTAAATACATAATTAAAAACAACATCCATGTTTTGATTGTTTTTTATTTGGACCTCAAGTGTGTAGTCGGCCCCCGAACGGCTGTTTGATAGTTAATGCGGCCCTCGGGCTGAAAAGTTTGGAGACCCCTGTTCTAGGCCACGAGGTGCAGGGAGTGTAGATCCAGATGACAGAGGAGACCCTGGCCCATGTCCTGCGTTAGCAGGTCCGGAACCTGTGGGAGGAGGATGGTGTCCTCCACCAAGAGGCTCCTGAGGGCTGTGTACCAGTGCTGCCGGGGCCATGCTGGAGCAATGAGGATCAGGGTTGACCCAGACCTCTTGACCCTTAGGAGGACCTGGTGAATCAGCAGAAAAGAGGGGAAGCATACAACAGGTGCTTTGGCCACTGCCCTACCAGGGCATCCCCCAGTGACCCCCGCTCCTTCCCTCGGTATGAGTAGAACCTGGGGGACTTCTTGTTGCAGTTCAAAGTGAACAGGTCGAGGAGGAGAGTACTTCACCTGTGGAAGAGTGTGCTGGCCACCTCCTCCTTGAGGGACCACTCGTGGGCCGCAAACGCCCTGCTGAGCCGATCCGCCAGGGTGTTGTGCACCCCCAGCAGGTAGGTCACCTGCACATAGATATCATGCGCAACACAGAGTTCCTAAAGGGCTATCGCCTCCTGGCAGAGGGGAGAGGAGTGAGCACCACCCTGTCCGTTGATAGACAACACAGCCACCATGTACTATATCTGAACTGAGACACAGCTGCCTCTTAGATGGGGGAGGAACGCTATGCAAGCGAACTGTACCACCCTCAATTCCCTGACATTGATGAGCAGTCGCCTCTCTGCCTCGGTCCACATACCTTGAGTCCTCAGGTCGTCCAGGTGAGCTCCCCAGCCGGCTTCGGCAGCATCTGTTCCCATCTGCACCGTAGGGAGGGGGATGCGTGACTGGGAACCCGCCGCTCCCCTCTCTCTTCCTTGTCCACCAGTCCAGTGCCAACAGGACCGCTGGTGGGACAGTAACCACCATGTCCATGTGGTCCCGAGCTGGCTTGTAAACCCTCGACAGCCAGGACTGCAGCGGTCGAAGCCGTAGCCTGGTGTGCCGAAGCATATACATGCAGGGTGCCATGTGGCCCAGCAGTTTCAGGCTGTCTGTCTCACTGTGGTCATGGGGCAGCCTGAAATTCCTTGACCATGCCTCTTATTGTCTGGAACCTGGATCCAGGGAGGCAGTCTCTCTCTGCTGTGGCATCTAGCCTTGCCTCCACAAACTCAATGACCTGAGCTGGGACGAGTGTCGACTTTGACTCTTTTAGCCAGAGCCCTAGTTGCACAAAGGTCTGCCTGGCCAGGGCTGTGGACTGTTGGACCTGCTCCCTTGACTGCCCCCTGATGAGCCAGTTGTCCAGACAGAGCTAAACATGGACACCTTTCCTCCTCAAAAGGGCCACTACCACTGCCATGCATTTTGTAAACACTCTGGGAGTGGTGGAAAGGCCAAAGGGAAGCACCATAAATTGGTAACGATCTTTCCTTACCACGAATCTCAGGAATCTCCTGTGGTGAGGAGAAATGAAAATGTGGAAATACGCATCCCGAAGGTCAAGGGGGGCATACCAGTCTCCTAGATCGAGCGAGGGGATAGTAGAGGCCAAAGTCACCATTCTGAACTTCACTTTTCGTATTAAGGCATTTAGCCTTCCGAGGGCCAGTCTGAGATGGAGACCTCCCTTTGCTTTCGGTATAAGGAAGTAGAAACCCTTCCCCCGAAGGCAAGAGGGACCTCTTCCACTGCCCCCAGTGAGAGGGGGGCATACCAGTCTCCTAGATCGAGCGAGGGGATAGTAGAGGCCAAAGTCACCATTCTGAACTTCACTTTTCGTATTAAGGCATTTAGCCTTCCGAGGGCCAGTCTGAGATGGAGACCTCCCTTTGCTTTCGGTATAAGGAAGTAGAAACCCTTCCCCCGAAGGCAAGAGGGACCTCTTCCACTGCCCCCAGTGAGAG